TCGACAACTAATCTGTAATGACAAGCCAAACGACCTGTACATACTACATATAAATGCACGAAGTTTACAAAAGAATTTAACATACCTCCTAGATTTACTTGTTCAATTAAATACTGCTAAAATTCCTGACCTAATTGCAATTTCTGAAACTAAATTAGGATCCAGCATGCACTATAACATTGATATACATGGTTATACATTCATTTGACAGGATTCAGCTACTAATGCTGGAAGAGTTGGGTTGTATATAAGAGATAGCTTTAATTATACTTTGCGGCATGATATATCATTGACAGGAGTGCATGCTGAGCAATTGTGGATCACATTAGGTAACTTCAATAAAAAAAACTACAGTTGGTGTCATCTATCGACACCCGAACAATGAAATACAGCCCTTTGAAACACAAATGAACGATATTCTCAATTTTTTTTTAATTCTTCAGGTAACTATTACATTTGTGGCGATTTTAACATAGAACCTTTGAAACAGGAATCGAACACCCAAACCAGCAACTATATTAATATGCTCTACTCAAATCAATTTATGCCTCTAATTACTAAACCAACTCGTATTACCCAATCATCTAAAACACTTATTGACCATTTTTACACTAACAATCTCAGCAATATTATAAACTCTGGTATAATTACACATAAAATTTCAGACCATTTACCGATTTTTATTCTTGTGCAACATAATAGGGTAGATCAAAAAAAGAAAATTGTCATACGTTCAATGAGAAATTTTAATCACGAAATGTTTTATGATAGTCTACAACAGGAACTGGATTTAGTTAATTTTGAATCTACTGAATCTAACTTAGGCTTCAACCAGTTTATTGCTATATTTAAAAATAATCTGGATAAACATGCACCATTGATAACTTTATATCTAGGACTAAATCAAAATTTTGTTCAAAACCATGGATCACTGCGGGTATACGGACATCAATTAAATTCAAATCAAAACTATTTCATTCCCATTACTTAAAAGGAACTGAGGCTATGCGTCGCTTATACAAGAAATACTCTAATAAGTTCACACATATTAAAGAAATCTCTAAAAAACAACATTATAATAAATTACTAGCTGTGAATAAAAACAATATGAGAAACACATGGACCACATTCAATGAAATAATTAAACTAAAAAATAAAGTTTCTGTTAATCCCGATATTCACTTACCTGAAAACAGTTCAATTTCTAGTTCAAAAGCAGTTAGTGACAAATTTAATAAGTACTTTCAAAGCATTGGTGTGTCAATGTCTAATAAAATAAAAAAGACGGATACTCCTTTTCAGAACTTTTTATTGAATCCAGTTACAAACTTTTTATTGACTCCTATTGTAAATGAAGACGTCATCTCTATCTTCAAAAGTATGAATATCAATAAGGCAACTGGGCCCGATGAAGTACCAGCTAAATTTTATAAATCGGCCTCTCATATTATTTCCCATGTCTTAACAATTTTGTTCAATTCCTCTATTAACAGTGGGAAATTTCCGGACCAACTCAAAACAGCCAAAATAATTCCTTTACATAAAACCGGTTCACAGATTGAACCAGCTAACTATCGGCCTATATCTCTCTTATCCCCATTATCAAAAAAAAATGAAAAACTAAATTATCTTCGCCTCACTAAATTTTTAAATCAAAATAATGTTCTTAGTAAGTATCAATTTGGGTTTCAAAAAAACTACTCTACTGCACTAGCTACAGCTGAAATCTTTGATAACTTGGTTAATGCATTAGACTCTCGATTGCATACTTGCTGCATTTTTCTGGACCTTTCCAAAGCGTTCGATACAGTTAAGTTGAGTTAAATATATTACTCACAAAAATGGAACATTATGGTATCAGAGGTCTGGCTTTAGATTTTTTTCGACAATACTTAACTAATCGTTAGCACTATACATCTATAAATTCATACAAATCAAACTTGGCTGAGACAACCTGTGGTGTCCCCTCAAGGATCTACCCTAGCTAGGTCCTTTACTCTTTCTTATTTATGTTAACGATCTCCCCAATGCTACCAATTTTAACACCTGTTTTGCTGATGATACTAACATATTTGTGACAACTAAAAACATCGGTGATCTTCAACACTTAGTAAATACCGAAATTAAAAAAATTGACATGTGGATGTCATGAGCAAATATCCTATCAGTCAACTATCAAAAAACCAAGTTCATTATTATTTCTAACTCAAAGGAACAGAACAACAACTTTAGCGTGAAAATGGGAAACCACCAGCTTCCTTCTACATCCACTATAAAATATCTAGGAATCTTCATTAATAATCGTCTTACATGGAAGAATCATATTACCTATATTTCGACAAAAATTGCAATATCAACAGGTATTATATCTAAACTTAGACACTATATTCCACAAGATCTGCTTACTACTATATATTATTCTCTGGTTTATCCCTATCTAACATACGCAGTATTAACATGGGCTACAGCCAACAAAACTACACTGAAACCTCTACAAACAGCTCAAAATAAAATTGTCAAACTTATAAAATTTGCTCACTGGAGAGACCCCTTATTTCCACAAATTGCATTTACTCAAACTAATCGACATCTATAATCTAGACTCTAGAGTTAGGTAAATTTATGTATAAATACAATACAGGGACTCTCCCTGAATTGTTTTGCAACTACTTTAAGAGAACTTCTGATACACCTCATTATCAGACTAGAGCAGCAACTAACCAATTTTTCTTTATCCCTAGAGTATCTACAACTATTGGTTTTAAATCCATCAAATCTGCAGGAGCAAAACTTTGGAATTCAAATTCCTAAACAATTACTAAATTACGTACCATTAAAAAGTTCAGCTATGCGCACAAAGCACACATGATTCAACATTACACTCCTTCGTGACTAACTACACCTAGTCAATTTTGATTCTCCCGTTGTTTATTCTAGATGTTTTGCTTGTATGTGTTGTTTTGTTCTTTAGTTTGATTGTTTTTTTGTATACATTCAATCATTGACATAAATTGTAATATAGGCCATTTAAGTTATTCTTGATTACCATGTAAATATTCTATTACTATACATACTGATTACTGTACCCTGATACTGATTACTCTTGCATGTAATTATCAATTGTCAAATCTAAATTATATAAGGGTGTTATATATGCTTACTTACATAGTAATTTCCTTATTTCATTATTTTCCTATCTTACGTGACTGCCTTATACATATTCTTGATAAGTATTTCTTTATATGCTATATTTCTTTTCTCACCTATGTATGTTCAGTTTGAAAAACCGTTTTGTTTGTTTTGTTCTTTATTTTGATTAGTTTTTCATACATTTAATCATGACATTGACATAAATTGTAATATATGCCGCTTAAGTTATTCGTTATTAGCATGTAAATATTCGATTACTACATATATTTCATTTATATGTGTCCAACATATTTTGTACATAACTTCATGTTTGCTGCTTGTTCTATTTCCAATTATTTTCAATTTTGCTTTTGTTTTATTGTTATCATACAAACATTTTGTTCAAATATTTCTCATCATACATCTGATTCTTATGACAGATGCCTTTATACTTAATTAATTTCTCTAAGGGTTGGCTGACTAGATAACCGTATGGTCTTTTCGCCATCCCTTCACTGCACGTTATTTATATTTTGTTAAAAATCCTTGTATCTGCTGATATTGAAAGTGATAAAATAGACTCTCTTATCTTATCTTATCTAATTGTATTGTGTCGAAAAAATGACATTATGTGCACAAGAAATGCAAGTGCAAAAGCCTACAGCATCCGGTCAGCTATACCTCTGGTCAACAGGCCAATCCGGTAACAGAGCCCCCCAGCTAACACAAAAACGTTCACATAACGTTATTTTAAGGTTATGTTTTGGTTTGGATAACGTTATACACCAACGTTATAAATACGAAA